TGCTTCTGCTCTGTGCTCAGGCTTCCCTTGGACACCCAGTGCCCTCTGAATGGGATGCCCCCTGTGGCCTGTAGCTGCAGAGCCCCCACGGGGGGGGGGGGCGGGGGCACTGCCCGGTGGCCAGTCTCACAAGGATGTCCCAGTGTTTGCTGCCATTTCCCTGGCCATCCTGTGGCTTTTTTCCCAGCCTGAAGAAAGAGAGACTCGAAGAAGAACGGCAGCGGCAGGAGGAGGCGGCGAGGATGCAGCAGCTTCAGTTGCAAGTGGCCCAGGAGAGAGTCCGGCGGCAACGGGAGGCGTTCCAGAGGAAACTGCGAGAACTGCAGAGAACAAAGCAGCAGGAGGAAGCCGAGAGGGCTGGTGAGGAGGGCTTCTGGAGCAATCTGCATCTCCTATCTGGGGCAGAAGTATTTTTATCCCACTGTGGGTGTTCTTCTGAATCTCCCCAGAGTTATTCCTATCCTAAGCCTTAGTGTGTGAAGCACTCTAAGTGTATAAGCTCTTTTTTTTTTTCCCAAAGTGATTAATATGTGTGACCACATTGAGTTGAGATAGATCAAAATAAGACAGACTCACTTGTGGAAATGACTCAGGCCCTACTCCCAATCCAGTCACCTCCTGAACTGGGATCCTGCCCCTCCCGTTGCCCTTTTAGCCTTGCTCAGGAGCCGCCTGCATTGGAGACAGAGCCCCGCTCCTTGCTCCTTTCCCTAGCAGACGGAAACAAACATCTGGATAGCCTCGGGGCAGCCTTTCAGGGGCTGGCCTGTAGAATCTCTATAGCCTCACTTCAGAGGCTCAGCAGATGTCAGCAGATGACACTCTCTAGGCTGGTCAGTTCCACCGAGTGAGCACACGATTTCTCCAGGCACCGATCTGACGCTTCTCCTCAACTACCTGCATACCACCCATGAGCACCCCAGGCTCTGGAAAATTCTCCGCCAAGGTTTTGTACTCACTGCGCAGTGCACTGCACACAGTAGGTGCTTGATAAAGGACTCTTAAATTTGTAAATTGACCCCAACGTGATCCCCACAGAGGAGCTGGCAGCGTGCTGGCAGGTAAGCTACACCAGTATCTCGGGGGAGTCCCTGGGAATCAGACTTGGGAGTCGGATCCAAGAACTTTCTCCAGTACTGAGACCTCTGCTGAGCCCACCCTCCTTTTCTATTCTGCAGAGGATGAGAAGCAGAGGCAGAAGGAATTGGAAATGCAGTTGGCAGAGGAGGAAAAACGCCTGCTGGAAATGGCTGAAGAAGAACGGCTGGAGCACCAGCAGAGGAAACAGGAAGCTGGAGAGAAGGCTCAGCTGCAAGCAGAGGCGAGAAGGCGAAGGGGAGAGGAGGCCGCAAGGCTGGATCTGGAGGGAGCCATGACACGAGCTCAGGAAGAAGCCAGGTAGGGGATATTCGGGAACAGGTGCCACAGGGGATTGTTTCCCTGGGGCTAGCACCAAACTTGCACTGCCTTTGGACACGAGCAGTTCTCCCACTTTCCATAAGCATGATTTGGAAGAGCTAAAAAACAGACTCTTTTGCGGTGTCACAGAATTTCTTCATGGCTTATAGAACTTGTATTGAAGCTGGAAGGGAGTTTAGATTTCATCTCTCCCAGCACTCTGGTTTCCAGATGAGAAAATGGAGTCCCAAAGAAGGGGAAGGAACTTGATCAAGGCCGAAGAGTGAATTGGGGGCTGTGCCAGGACCACATCTAAGACCCCCTGATTCGGAACCACTACCCTTCTCAGTATTTTTTGGTTACCTCTTACGCGCCAAACACTCTTCTTCTGGACACTGGGAATTCAGAAGTAAACAAAAGAGATGTCTCTTCTCCCTTGGCATTTCCATTCTAGGGCTGGGAGTAGGGAGACAAATATTTTTTTTAGCTGGCAATAGATGCTAGACAGAAAAAGTTTTAAACATGTGATAGGATTGCAGGTTTGGTTTAGATTGGTCGGCCAGGGCAAACTTCTTAGAGAAAATGTTCTCTAAGGAAAAACCTGAATGACAAAGAGTTAGCTGCATAAACATCTGGGAGAAAAATATTCCAGCAGGTAAACAGGGAGTGCAAAGGTTCGAAGGAAGGAATGAAACTGGCATATTGGGAGAATAAAAGGAAGTCAGTATGGCTGGAACTAAGTGAACAAGGCACGAAGAAGACTTCCAAGATGAGGTCAGAGAAGTAAGCGAAGACCAGACCTCATGAAAGCCTTGTTTGGAGAAATAGTGCAGAACTAATTATCAGGGGCCAGTGGCATTTTCCCCCGCTCTGTTCTTTTACAGTAGTAATGATCATTTCATCTTTCTGATAATAGAATTTCTTGAGCAATGTGGTTTCCACTGACTCTTTAAAAGCTAGATCCTCTATAGTTGCTTTCTCATGAATTTCCACTCCTTAGTGAAAGCAACAAATAGACATCCCTCTTTAGAACCATCAAAACTGAAGGGTATAGAAGCATGACACAGAAAACCGTGTGAGTCCAATCTTGACTGTAAACAGTTTACCCCCCTGAAATATATTTTCTACAACTTAAGCTGAATCTAAGCTAGTAAGTACTCTTTAGGGGACCAGAAAGAGAAGGCAGCCAGAAAAATTCTATTTCAAGGTTTTCCACCGAACTCTTGAGTTGTTCCACTCCTGGACTTTACTCAACTGTTGGGTTCCACCACCACCCCCCCGCCCCCCAGCTGTTATGTGAATTAAAAAACAGATCATTAGAGAAGTCTTGATTCAAATTCAAAATTATGTATTCCATATATCACAGCGGCAGGACTGGGTTCGTAAGTATTGAGACCAAAAGCAAGCTAAACAATTGTGTAAAGCTAGTCCCAGGGGCTGAAAGCAGAAAACCAAGTGACTACAGCGGTGTGAGAGGTAGAGCCTCACTCCACCAAGGCTTAGAACTTGACGCCAGCTGGCTGTATTTCATCTTCACTTGTGTGACATTGGCGCAGGTACTTTAACTTCTCTGGCCTGTTTCCTCAGCTCTAAAACAAGGGAGTCCCTACCAGCAATACGAGTGTAAGAATTGCTAGCTTTTGCTTTGCCAGTAGAAGGCTCATGAAACTCCAAAACTCATGTGTAAAGTTACTAAACAAATAGAGTATCATCTTCCACTAAAATGCAAGATCAGTAGCCCCAAGTCTAACTGATGTTTGCTCAAATCCAAAGTTATTCTACTAGCTTAGAAGGGCAATTTCTGGGATGCTTAATCATATTGGGATTGTGGATGGGTTGTCTCCTTAGGCAAAAAGCTGCTTTGGAGAAACATCTTCATTTCCATCAAGATCTCTGTAAGGAAGCCAGTGCCCTGCGGTGGACACACAACATTTCCAGATCGTGGGTCTACTCGTACTTCCAGTTCCTACACATACCCAGACCTTAAGGCTAGAAGAAAACTAAAAAGTAAGTTGGGAGGTAGTGACAGAAAAAGAGAAACTTCTATAATGATGTCCCATTTCATCTGGTTCACCTCAACCCACACCTCACTTCACTCTAGGACCTCCATTCCCACCACCCCTCCCGACCACACATGTGACTTAACTCATTTAAAGTCTTCACTCACCTAAATCCTTTTATGTTCTCTAGAACCACATAAATCCAGAAGCTTTGCTGCCTAAAACTGGCCAATAATTTCATTTGTTGTTTGAATTTCAGTAAATTCAGTTGAATTTCAATTAGTAAGACTTACATCATCTTAAAAGATGGTCAAAGTATTTCACTTCACAGTGTGTCTGAAAGAATTGCAGATGTATGGAAATTCGATAATGCAAACAATTCTGAATAAGCTAAGCAGTTAGTTCATATATTGAGAACTTTATTGTCTCTTTAAAAGGCAAAACCACATCCATTTCAGCCTAAGAATCTAAAATGTAATGTCCGTTTAAAACAAGGTAATCACGGGGTGCCTGGGTGGCTCGGTCGTTAAGCGTCTGCCTTTGGCTCGGGTCATGATCCCAGGGTGCTGGGATCGAGCCCCGCATCAGGCTCCCTGCTCCGCGGGAAGCCTGCTTCTCCCTCTCCCACTCCCCCTGC